CTGCCAGCTCTACCTCCCGAGTGCTGGGATTAAAGGTGTGAGCCACCACCGCCAGGCTCATTTCTGTTCTTACAGTCCTGAAGGCTACAAATCTGAAATGCAAGTCTGCCTGGGGTTATTTTCTCCTTCCACCTTTTAGAGGACTTTCTCTCTGTGAATCCACATGATCTCCTCTTTGTGCACAAATATCTCCTCTTATCAGGACGCCAACATTGGATTTGACCCTATGGTGACATAGGTCTTAAGTGGTTACCTCTTTAAAGACTGTGACACCAAATACAGTCACTCTCTGAGCTTCCAGGTGATGTGGCTTCAACATACATGTCTTAAGGGGTCACAAACACTCAGTTCAAAACATATGAAATTGAGTACTCTTCTTTTGAAATCTGTGAAGAATTTGCTGAGATTTTGATGGACATTGCATTGAATCTACAGATTGCTTTTGGAAGACTGCCATTTTTACTATATTAATTCTGCTTACCCAAGAGCATCTTTCCACTTTCTGGTGTCTTCTTCAATGTCAATTTCTTTCTTCAAAGATTTAAACTTCCTGTTCTTGAGCCTCAGTTTCTCTAAAGAGTGCACAGTGTGGATATTGACAGTTTCATGGAGCAGGTCAAATGAGAAACTTAATGTTCAGCCCTTGATATTCAGCAATTCCTAAGTAAGAGTAACATGTTTAAACAGAGAAAGGAGTAGAGAAATAGAATGTATACCCCTGGAGTAGAATCTTTCAGTTGATACATAAAAGGTGTCACATATTCCAGAGCGTTCTCCTAAGTTGTGGCATTAGAACAACACCCTGTGGAGGTCTCCTGCCTTCATGCTTTCCGGCCAGGTGTGAGCGGAAGTGAGCCTGGGAAAGGGCTGCAAGAGGTCAAAGAGATGGTTCAACAGCTGAAGGTGCTTGTTGTTCAAGGCTAACCCTTGAACAACATTTGGTTCCTGAAGCCTCTGAGGATGGAAGGAAAGAACCAGCTTCACAAAGCTGTCCTCTGACCTCCACATGAGTACTGGAGCACACGTGTGCCCTCCACACACACTGAGTAAGGAGGAAAAATCAAATGGAATCCCTTTGCATATCAAACTTAGCTGCTTCTATACCAGGGCATATAGAATGGCAGTAGATTGGTGTCCTGGTGACCCTGGAATTGTGACTCATTTCTTCTCATCTGGGCAATGTTTCCAGATACCTCACTGTTCTGCAAAAGGACTCTTGAAGTCACTTTTATTCTCTGTTTCTGTAGGCTATAACATTAAGCAGGTGTATGCTCGTTACATGTAGATTATGGGCAGAATTGTGTTTGCCCTTCTGCCTTGTCACACAGGGATATATCCATTGGGGGTATCCTCTAGCTCCACACAGACAGCTAACTTAAGACAGACTTGTACCATTTTTTAAACCTGTCTCTATTTCACTGAAAAATGTGAGACAGGACAGTGTGGTACTATGTGAATATTCCTGGGTTCTCAAGAAGATACTGTTTTGTGTCCTGCAAGAGGTAGCAATCTAAACATGCAAGGATTGAGAATGACATAAGGCATCCCGTTCAGATCAACACACAGGTCTGAGTACTGCCAGCACACAAGGGTCCATTAGGTCAGTGAACAAAGGAGCTCTTCAAATTTAGCAGAGGATCATTTTATCTCACCCTCCCCATTTCAGAAGAGGGGAATGAGCTCCAGCAGCATAGAGAGTGCAATGACTAATTCCAGACAATTTACTTGGCACAACAAGACAGATCTCTGGTGCCAAGGCTTGGTTCAGGTCTGATACAGTACAGGAGGGTTTCGCATCTGGTCTTCTACAAGGTGACTCCAATTAAGATAGTTTTCATGCAAACATTGACTCTCAGCCCCAAGTCGTTATGCTATCCCTAGGAAGCTCAGTGATTTCATTTCAACAAATCACACTTCAGGAAAGCATTTCCATTGAACTTTTGAAGCCCCTGCTTCAAGGGTCTCATTTATTTTAATGTCATTTGTCCTTGAGTCACTGAAAACCACTCTTCGTCCTACCTTCCTGCATCCTGGGGCAAGCCACCTCTTCCTATGAATCTCTGTATGGCAGCATCAGGTAGCCTGAACCATACTCCAAGTCCCAGGAAGCTGATGAACCCTACAAATGTCTAAACATTTTAACTCCACAACAAGGCAGACTTCTTCCCAAAAGCAACAAAAAAGCAGAGACCAAGAGCCCTTAGCAAAGGGGGGGGGGGGGGGGAGAGAGAGAGAGAGAGAGAGAGAGAGAGAGAGAGAGAGAGAAAATGTGTCATATTTCCTATTAGATTACCATTCATTTTTGTTTTATAGAATAATAAGGGAGGAATTAAGTAGATGAGAGGGATACACTAGCTAAGAAATAGGATACAAATGTGATGGATTTAAGAACCTCTGGTCCCACTGACATTCTACATAGAGCGCAGGACATGATTCTGAAGAAATTCATCCCAAATATGAAGACAGCTTTTGTCTTAGGAGGGAGTCAGTGGGGAAGTAACTTTTAATGCATAGTCTCTTATTGTTGTCTAGGCTGATGGAAATAGAGGATTTCTAAGTGGCTTTTGAGCCTTTATGCTCTGTCTTACCATATCAAACAAGATGATTTCGAGGTACCTCCTTTCTCTGGCGCCTTTGTATTTTGTTTCCACTTATTTCCCATTCTTTCATTTGTAATTTACTCCTAGCCCCTTTAGCATTTTAAAAACCAGCTCTTGTTTAGATAGCCTGTGTATGTCAAGAATATTATACCCAGTATGTCTTTCAAGTAGGACAGCATATGTAAAAAGAGATATAGATGAGGGAGTCAAGGTCCACAGAGATGAGGTGATTTTGTTCCAGACATATGGCCTGTAATTTCGTTCATTATGAGTCAAAACAGGTTACTCTGGACCCAAAGATCCTCCCCTTTCCCTTACAGTAGAAGCAAATCTGTCCTCTTACTTTCTTTGTTTTTGATAACTGATGAATTAGTGCCTTAAACTCTGTTTGTCTTTAAAACCCTCTTTCTTTTTCATATTCTGTTTGAATTATATACCCATGTTCTCATCATGGGACACATACTGAGTGCCTACTGTAACAAGTGGCTAGACCAGTTACAGACATAACCAAACTGGTCACTACCCTCAAGAGCCATCCAGTCTAGTAGAGAAGAGACCACAGGATGGATACAGGCAACTCCAGAGTGAGTAAGCCAATGCTGTTTTCTGAAAGCAAAATGGTTCAGTAGAGAGAATGGCCCATGCTACAAAGCTATCAGAGAATGCACCCTTGGAAGAGGTGCTTTGTGTGTTAGTCAGGGAAGGCTGTAATAAATAAAATCATCCATGGATTGACTGGGTAATACAAAACTTCATTCAAATAAGGCCCAGAGGCACTTACTGCAATGCCAGTGTCACCCAGACTGCAAAAGACTGTGTTAGGATATTCTGTCCACTGCCTGAAAATGTTCGGAGTGAGAAGAAAGAAGTGGGTGGGCTTAGATCCTCTGCCAAAATGCTGGCCGTGTCAGATGCTAACATAGACATTTACACAGATGCTAAGGTCCCAGTGCCCACAAAGAAAAAAAAAAGACTGTGTGGGCCTCTTCTATTGATTTTGCTGGACACTCTCCATGTTTATTTGATGAGTATTAATGGCAGATGCACACTCAGAGTTACGGTGACCCCAGTGAGAGTAGGGACTGTCCTTCCCAAATGAGCATCTTTTATTCATTCTTGTCTCCTTTTCTTTCTCTTCTCACCTGGCTTCATACAAGCATCTGACACTTAAAGTACACATGTAATTAGAAAATCCTCTTCATCATCCGGAAAGCTTTGCCTGTGCCAAGGTACAGCGGTTACATTCCAGAAAGGGTGGGGGACGGGGGACTGGTGAGTACAAAGATAATCAGATACATAGGGAATCCGTTGAGCAGCTTATTGGAGTTTCTAGATCTCTCAAGTGGGATGTCTGCCTTTAAATGTCCTTACAAACCAACTAAAACTTGTGATACCTACCTCCAACTTTCCTTGGTAGATGAAGAAATCCAAATTTTTGGTGGTATGAGTGTTGGGGGTATTATGCAACTTGTATACATTAGACAGCTAATTCCAAGAGCTAGAATCCACTTACTCACCAACTGACCTTATACCCATCTTTTCCCTTCCCTTAGTTTCCATGCTCACCATTGCTTAAATGAAAAAAAAAATCACTGCCATGGATTTATATGTGTTCAATAAGCTATTGCATATAAAGACCTTACCATGATGCCTTGCCTGTTGTACAGACTTAGACTGTATACTTGATTATAGCTGAAAAGGTCACATACTTATGTGTGAACACACACATACTCACACACATTACAGGGAGGAGAGTGTTAGATAATGAACACTTGGTTCTTGGGAGATTTGTAAGTGATTCTGAATAAACCCCTGTCATCTGTTCTTTATTTCAGCTTCCTCACTGTTGATAGAGCTGAGGAAGTCAGAGGCTGTGATCTTTGCGGGGCAGGGGGGTGGGGGTTAATTTTTAGCTGGTGAAATACTCATTCTTCTAACAGAAGCTTTCTGGTATACTCCATATTCAATAAAAAGGAGTAAAACTTTATGAGTTCACTTGCCATGAGGTACTGACAAATCCTACTCCCTCTCCCTGTTAGTTCCTCTAGCCCTTACTGAATTGTCCTCAGGGTGGTCAAGGATACCAGAGAGTACATAAGTAACAACCAGGGTCCCATAGAGCTTTTTGGTGGCTCACGTCTTTAATCCCAGAGCTCAGGAGGCACGGGCATGTGTATGAGGCCAGCCTGGTCTACAAGAGCTAGTTCTAGGACAGGTTTCAAAGCTACAGAGAAACCCTGTCTCAAAAAACAAAACTAACAAACAAAAAAAGAAAAACAAAAGAAAAAACAAAACAACTGTTCTAGAGTATTTGATGTGAATTTTATCAGAGAAAAATAACCTAACCAGCATCTATTTCCGTGCTTTATTTATTAATCTTTCTCTTTTGCAACCACATAGGACTGTATGACAAATGTTCTTATACCTCACGTGACCGAGGATGGGTCGTGGGCATTCACACCATCAGTGATCAAGGCAACAGAGACCCACGCTACTTTTTCTCCTTGAAGACAGACCGGGCCAGGAAAGTGACCACCATTGATGCCCATCGCAGCTACCTGCCAGGCCAGTGGGTATACCTAGCTGCTACCTACAATGGGCGACAGATGAAGCTCTATTTGAATGGTGCCCAGGTGGCAACCTCTGGGGAGCAAGTCGGTGGCATATTCAGCCCACTGACCCAGAAGTGTAAAGTGCTCATGTTGGGGGGCAGTGCTCAAAATCACAACTTCAGGGGCCACATCGAGAACTTCCGTCTATGGAAGGTAGCCAGAACACAGAGAGAGGTACTGTCTGACATGGAAAGCCATAGCCTTCACACCCCTCTACCTCAGCTCCTCCTCCAGGAGAACTGGGACAATGTGAAGCGCACTTGGTCCCCCATGAAGGATGGTAACATCCCCCGCATGGAATTCAGCAATGCCCACAGCTTCCTGTTGGACACTAGTTTAGAGCCCCCTCTTTGTGGGCAGACGCTATGTGACAACACAGAAGTCATCTCCAGTTACAACCAGCTCCCAAGTTTCCGTCGCCCTAAGGTGGTACGCTATCGTGTGGTCAACATCTATGACGATGACCATAAGAACCCAACGGTGAGCCTGCAGCAGATCGACTTTCAACACCAGGAGCTGGCTGAGGCCTTCCAGCACTACAACATCTCCTGGGAGCTGGAGGTGCTGGACATAAACAGCTCCTCTCTGCGTCATCGCCTCATCCTCGCCAACTGTGACATCAGCAAGATTGGGGATGAGAAATGCGACCCCGAATGCAACCATACACTGACCGGCCATGATGGTGGGGACTGCCGCCAGCTGCGCTACCCCGCCTTCATGAAGAAGCAGCAGAATGGTGTGTGTGACATGGACTGTAACTATGAAAGGTTTAATTTCGATGGTGGCGAGTGCTGTGACCCAGACATCACTGATGTCACTAAGACGTGCTTTGATCCCGATTCTCCACACAGGTAAGAAGTCCCGTTGAGAACTGACTGTTACATTTTTATCTTATAGATAAGACACCTAGGTTTCCTTAGAGTTTGTGACAGTACTCCAGTTCAGACAACAGGCTTGTGACCAAGACAAGTCTAATGCTAAGGTTATCCAGGGGACTATGTGCATGCATAGTCCTTTACAAGACTGCATACTGAGTGCTTACCATTGAACATGACAAAGGCCTCAAAGCCCTGTCCTCTCAAAGAGCTCAGGTTTAAACTGGGATCATGCACTGCATGTGAATAAATGTTGTACTGTACGTGGTCATATTGATGAGTTCTGTGCCCACCAATCCAGTAGCTTCACACCGTAGGCTGCTGTTAAAAATTAGCACAGTTAAAAAACAGAACTCCTTTTATTTATTTTATATTTTTATTTTTTATTCTATTCTTACATTTTTATTACTTTTACTTTATTTATGAATACATAAAACCAGCAGCACCTGTTGATTCAAGCCTATAATCTCAACAATTTAGGAGACAGAAACATGAAGATGTTATGATTCCTCTACAAAATGAGTTCAGGGCCAGCCTAGGCAAATGTGAGAGATGTTACCTCAAAATAAAAAAGATGTGGGTTTATAGCTCAGTAGTAGAGCACTTGCCTTACTAGTACAAAAGTCTAGGTTCAATCGTTAGCTACACACACACCCACACACACGCATAGATGCACATGGAAATAAAACTGTAAAAGTCAATTCCTTTGTTACTCAGTTTCTACATGGGGTTTATGGCTGTTGTGCTGGAGAAAATGATAGAGAAATCTTCCAGTGTCTGGGCTTTCTGTGGGTAGTGAGCTGGTAAATGGGAGGTCAGTAAGGAACAGACGCCTTGGGTTCAGATCCCGGCTCTGCCATTTCCTCACTCTGTGACCTCCTAGAGGTTCCTTCTGCATCTGTGACATGAGAGGGATGGCTTGCAGAGTTTGCAGAGGTTAGAGAGAAGGCATAGAAGACGCTGTATTCCCTTCAGGGGCCAGCACATTACTAGCTCGCAAGAAGCACATTTATCCAAGGTAAAGGGCTCGGTATTCAGGGAGTACCACTCAAAGCATGTGCCGGGAACCTTGAATGTGTCCTGAAGAGTTCGTTGGGACAGGTGGAATTTCACCAAGGCCTTTCAAAGCAGGCGGAAGGGGAAGCGCAACTGAGGAATTCCAGAAATCTAGCGTGTAATTTGACAACTATGGGCAATAAATGCACTGTACTTAGTATTCATGCAAAAAAAGACACTAAAAAAAGGTACTCTGTGAGATAATGGCCATGTTTGCTATTTTCTCTATGGTAACCTCTTTTCTATGTGCTTCTATCCCATCACAGCGAGTTTTAAACCTTAAGTATATAAAACAATAATTATTTTAACAAGAAGAAGAAGAATAGAAGGTTCTGGAGAGATGGTTTGATGGATAAGCATGCTTGTTTTGAAATCAGAATGACCTAAGTTCAAATCTCCAGCACTCATGCAGATGTCACACACAGTCATGCATGCCTACAATCCTTGCATAGGAAGGCAGAGACAGGAAAATTCAGGGAGCTCGCTAGCAAATAAGCTAGTAAAATGGTAAGCTTATGGTTCAGTGAGAGACACTGGATCACAAAACAAGATGGAGGGTGACGGAGTAAAAGGTTAGAGATTATCCCATTGTCTGTGTGTGAATACACACACACACACACACACACACACACAGTGTGTGTATACAAAGAATAGGTATAATTTTAACTTGACCAGAGATTGGACTGGGGAAGAAACAAAGACATTTCAGGAAAAGGTAATTGTATTATTCCTCAGAATCATGAAGAAAGGAGGTCTGCTGCCCAAGACATTTGAGTCTGTCCTGGGTATTGACTATAACGTGCAATCCCAACATGCAAAATATAACCAGAGGGCGACTTTTGTTTGTGTGGGACTTCCACTCTGAAGTCAGGGAAAGGGTCAACAACCACTTTCCTGTTTTAGGGAACTTTCCTATTCTGTCCAACACACATGAGCCTGGCCTTGCTGATGGTTTTGGCACATTGGCCAACCCCTATGGGTTTTCTCTTCAGACTTCTCTGTCTCTCTCAAAAGACCAAGGACCTCCCTTGCACAGGAAAAATACCTATCTTCAGAGAAATGAGGATTCTGGCAGGAGAATGTCCTTCGTGGAAGTAGCTCAGAGAGCATGACAGCTCAGCCTGCTGGTATAGGAGGGGCTTCTGGACTCTGCCTTGCTACCGTCTTGTGCCGCATACAAGGGGAGATTTAGTGGAAGGCTAGTTTGTTCTGGTCAATTTTGCTCATATTTGAGGCCTGGAAGAACTTGGCAAAGGAGATAAAATGGGAGTTAGCGTGTTCATTTGAGTTATGGGAAATAGTGGCCTTTAGAGAGTGCAGTATGCCTGCATCAGTAAAGTCATTAGGCAAATGAAAAACTCAGGCTCCCTGTGATCAGCAAAGAGTGTGCGACTACATCAGGCTTACATGAAATACCCACGTTCAAAGACAGAGTCGGGAGAAAGTAGAGCATGGACAGTGAAAGTCATCCAATCCACAGGTCGATTCAGCTAACCATTCTCTGATTCATGTCACAAATCTATGTTTAGCATCGGCCAAGGGTTGAGAAGGCAAGTTCCCCAATCTTGTTTTATGTAAAGAAATTTCAGATTCAGAAAGATGAAGCGGCACGTTTAAAGTCATCCTGCTTGTGTGTGGAAGGCTTGGGCTCAAACCTGGACTTTTTAACTCTAAAACTATTGAATGGAACTATCTTTAAATCCAAGAAACAATTAGGTAACATTGAAGGACAGGGGCTATAGGCAGGGCAGTGTTTCAAAACTTTGTGAGAAGTCTGGTGGTAATAACTGAGTCAGAACCGAAGCCAACTGGCCTTTTCAGAGTCCCATGCCTCAGGTTGCAGATATTTAAAAAAATCAACAGGCAACACCGGCAGATTCCAAAGGCCTCCTCTTTCCTCATCACAAGACTGAATGTTCCAAATGTTTGTGCATGGCGTGTGCCAGCAGTGTGACCACTAGAGCCAGGGGCTGCTTGTTTGCTGCTGCGAAAACTGTGTGCACAGGCTGAGCCCCGCCAGGCCCTGTGTCATCAGGACTAAGCTGGGGTTACTGCATTCAGGCTGAATCAGCTGCCCTGTGTGCAGAGAGAAACCTATGGAAGGTTTCAGAGAAATACTCACTTTGTGATTTTGAACAAGAGAGAGGGAGGACAAAGAAAAAGGAGAGAAGGGACAAAAGCAGGCAGGCTACTGGAGCAGAAGCCAGGAAATACAGGCTGCTGTTGTTTAGGTGAATTTTTAGAAAGAACTATCTAAAAATAAAAAAACAATCTTTCAGCATATATCTCTCTCCTTCCTCCTTTCCCTCCCTCCCTCTCTCCCTGCCTCTCTCATCCTCTTCTCCTCCTCCTTCTCTCCCTTTTTCTCTTTCCATCTGTCTTTATTTCCATATGTCTGTTATTGCTGTTTTTGTTTCTCATTAGTTTAAAAATTAAATTTGTTTTAATGTGTGTGCACGTGCGCACATGAGTATACACACACACACACACACACACACACACACACGATGTGGGCATGTTATTATGAAGTCCAGAAGAGGGCATCAAATCCCCTCTGACTGGAACTGTGGATAGCTGTAAGTCATCTTCCATGGATGCTAGGAACTGAACCCAGATCATCTTAAACCACCTTTCTTCCTCTCTAGGTTTTCATACTCTAATTATTTCTTTGAAAAATTCATATTTCATACAATGTGTTTTAAATATAATCTCTACTCCTTAATCCCCTTAACTTCTCTCAGATCCATCCGCCACTCTCTGCCAACTTTCTGTCCTTTACATTTTAACCCACAGTTTGTCCTGGCCATGGATTTGCTGCCATTCACTGAAATATGGTTATATGATTGATCTAACAAGAGTCACACCCTTAAAGAAAACTGACTTTCCTCTCCCCTCCCCAAAATTTAATCAACTTCTAATGGCTCCTGAGCTAGGGGTGTCAGCTGATGTCCCCCCCCACCCCATACACAGGCAGACTGCCATAGCTACTGAGTTCATGAATGTAGCAGTCCTATTGTGTGCAAAAACAATTTCACTCTGGTCTTCCTGGACTTCAGGCTACTAAGATCTTTTTCTCATCTATGATGATTCTTAAAGCTTTGCGAGTGAGAGTGAAATAGATCTCTCATTTATGACTGAGCCCTCCACAGACAATTATTTATACTCTGGCCAATTATTAGTTGCTATGACTAATCCCTTCCAATGCACAAAGAAACCTCTCTAATGAAGTTCTAGAGCTGCATAAATCTAATGGTAGAGAGATGTGGATTTTAGGACAGTTTGGTACTATGACCATTTAGCAAAATAGCAATTGTAATTTCATCCCAATAGCTTATATGTTCCACAGTCCTGAGATTTTGGCCAGGGTTATAGTACTAGTCTGTCATTCTATCCTGTAGAATGGGCAGTCACACATTCTGTCCTTGTAACCTTCTTGGCATTCTCCCGAGAGTCTGGGGATAAAAAGTAATAGGATAGTGAGTTTGTAAGTGATTTGAATGGTCCCTTTCTGTTTCTATGGTTGCACCAAAGTAATCAAGGGAGTATTGAAGTTGTGTTTTCTCATAAGATGCAATGATAATAATAACGAAAGCCTAAGTATGCTGTAAAATAGAGCTGGGCTAGTGGGTGCTAAATACTTTGTAATGTAAGCAATGTGAGATACTTGCCTTAAAGAAAACGTTTTCGTATGGCCTGAACAACAGGACCATGATACCTGCACTTAAAATTCTAAGTAGACCTACCCTGTGCTAAAGGGAGCAGAGGCAGTCCGTGTGATTTTGAAGCCATGGTGGGACAGAATGACACGAGGAGGAGTTTGGAAATGAGATGGTGTCATCTCCAGTTGGCATGGTCTTTCTAGTGATGTTCTAGCCTACAGGGGAATAGATTTCCCATCAGTATGGTACTGATAACCATGT